GAAATAATTTTTTCTAGATGGGGGAATTTAATGCTGTTTCTTCCTGTATGAAATTTGTTTGCAATCTATTTTTTTGTTGAATTATATTCGCTACTTATTTTTTCACAGTTCTAATACTTTCGATTTTGGTACTTGATTTTATAGAGAATATTTAAAAATTACTATAACTATCGTATTCAGTAAACTTATACGAAGACAAATGTAAGGAATAATAGAATTATTTATTTGTATTGGTAAATTACAAATTCCTCTTTTTTCTCATTCTTATTGCATTCCAAAACCAATGTATAAATAAGTAAAAGTAGTTTCGTGTATGTGTGTTACTTCAATATTGTGAATTTTTACTTTCGTCTTCTCAAATACGTGTTTACCACTACGTTTGTTTATAAACAACTTTTTTGTTGGACTGAAGTGTATTATCGCGACGTACCTGCCCTGTATCTGGCAACGCGCATCGCACTCGGCAGTCGTTTCACCGCATGGTCCGCGTGCGCGTCTGACTACTTGCCACGCGTTTTCTGACTTCAATTATTCAATTAATCGTCGTGTATTCTCTTCGTCATCAGCAAAATATACGTAACGAGCATGTGTGCCTGTTTTGTTTGATGAGTTGTGGCGGTTAAAGTGTTCTTAAGTAAGAAATAAGTGTCTGCTAATTTCTGCACGAGTTTTCAGATGATAAAAAATATTCGTGGATCTAAAATCTCTTCGTCATTGCACTGGTAGGTGTGTAATTTTTTTTTCGCGCAAAGTTAAGACGGTTTATATTAAATTGATTATCCCATTTGAGGGATATTAATTGTGCAGATTAGAAACACCTGGTAGCATTTTCATCAGAATTCTTAGTTCCGTTTCCGAAAATAACATGCATAATTTAATTATTACACACACTGTGTTAAAAAGTATCTGAGGATTACTAAAATGACAATATTCATGTGATCGACCACGGTCACATTGCCGTCGACCATCGGCTCGTTCCTCTTTTCGCTGAACGTTTTTAATCGAATTACACTGCTTATCATCATTAAATTAAAAAGTTTCTTGTTGATCTAAAATCTTGTATGCTGAATAGTTATTTTTTATCGTATTTACCTACTGTATTACCACGCGCCGTCGCTTGCCGCCGTCTGCTGATTTAGATGTTTTCCGCCTGATGATTCTAAAATCTTTAAATTTATGTTAAAATGATGTTTCGGTATAAATTTCTCTCGTCATGTATTACCTTTATGCAGTTGATGCTATCATCAAATTATAAATGTATTAAAATGTAAGTGTTTTATTCTTGTAGCACCTTTTTTACTCAACTTTTAAGATGATTTTCGGGTAAAATCTTTGAATTTATGTTAAAATATTGTTGTTTCGGTATAAATTTCTCTCGTCATGAATATTGACCATATTTGTAATTTTTAAAATTTACCTTTTTTAACACCCTGTCTATTAGTTTTCCTAACAGTACATAGTAAATCGCCTTTATTTGTGAGTTTTGGATGTTCTTTGTTTTAAACTTGAGATTTTCCTTCTGGAACACCCTGTATATTTGCTTTTCTTTGTGTCCGTGAAAACTTTCCTACCGCTGTGGTTTTAGGGCTTTTTTTTTGCACTTTAAGTTTTTTTTGTAACACCCTGTTTATTAGTTTCCCGGAGCATAGGGTCAAAACGAGCAATATTTGTTGTGTTTACATCTTTTTCTTTTTAATGTTTGAGTTTGCTATTTGTGACACCTTGTATAATCGTTTTCCTTCACATCCCTGAAAATTTTGCCTTGACTGTTATTAGAATTTAACTTCTTGCACTTTGAATTTTCTTTTTGTAACGCCCTGTAAATTTGTTTCCCAGAGTAACGGTGAGAAACTAGCGTTATTTGAGTGTTTAGATGTTTTCCTGTCTGCACTTAATTTTCTTTTGTAACACCCTGTATATTTGTTTCCATTTTAATCACGAAGAAAATCGACTTTACTAATTGCTTTATCCCGCTAGAACTTCACTAAGTGGTACGCGCTTGCTTGCGCGGCTAAGGAACTCGGAAGTTCTATTTCAATATGGCTGCATGAATTCTGTTGACTTATAAAATCTAAACTTGTATTATTTTACATTGTGTTTATTAATAAAGAAATGTTAAGAGATATTATGTCTTATGCTTGGAATGTTATTTGAATTTAACTTCTTGCATTTTGAACTTTCTTTTTGTAACGCCCTGTACATTTGTTTCCCAGAGTAACCGTGAAAAACCAGCGATATTTGAGTGTTTAGATGTTTTCCTGCCTGCACTTAATTTTCTTTTGTAACACCCTGTGTATTTGTTTCTATTTTCAATCACGAAGAAAATTGACTTTACTAATTTCTTCATCCCGCTAGAACTTCACTAAGTGGTACGCGCTTACTTGCGCGGCTAAGCAGGTCGTAAGTCCTGTTTCAATATGGCGGCATGAATTTTGTTGACTTGTAAAATCTACTCACATTTCTCTTCCTTCTATCTTCTACCTATTCTCTACTACTCCTTCTTCTTCTTTTTCTATTTCTCTGTTCTCGTTTCTCTCCACTTGCTTTCTTATTTCTTTATGTGCCTTCACTTGTGACTTTCAATTTCTCTTATATTTCATTTACCAGGTGTCATATATGCAACCCAAATTACACCCTGACATTTTTTATATTTTGAGGAAAATGCAGCTATACCTAAAGATTCGATCCGTGTCTGCTAGCGTACCGGCAGGTGCACGTCTACACTCGACCCTGAGTGTTTTTGTTGTTATTATTTGGATTCTTTGACATGTTTCTACTTTTTATCATGTTTTTAAAAACAACAACACAATTCGGAAGTAACACAGTTAGTTATCTTTACATCCACTGCTCACACATAAGACTTATATGCCACATTATTTAAAACTAGAAAACGACAAAGAAGGATACCACAAAAAATATAGAAAAGAGGGTTATAATTATACATAGTGTTTATTGACAACATTTAACTTTATAGTTACATTACAGTTACAAAAATATCAACAGCTAACAATTTCTGCCGCAATAGGAGTTACAATCCAGTTTAACTTGAAGCCGCACCTCACACTTTGCCTGAATTCAAAAAAAATTCAAAATTATTACACATGTAACAACTTGGGAAGATAAATTAAAAGAACTCAAAAGAATAATGAAGAAAATGTGAAATTGCACATCACATAAAAAATGAAATGAAAGAAAATGAAAGTTTTGCACTTTTCTAATTACCAACAAAATAGAATGTTTTGAATTTTGAATCCTTGACCCTTAGGACTTAGTTGTAGGCTAGTGGTAGAGAATGACAAATCCTTAAGAATAGAACATTTGAGGATAATTGTATTTCTCTAGATATCAAAAGAAAAAGTCATGGAGTTGCTTATTACAAAAATAAACCATAATGCTGAATTTTATTTTAAATGATGTAAAACAACTGGCGACCAGCCCGGAAAAGGCCGCCAGAGGATCAAGAACGCAGCCGACGGCACGCGACATTCTTAATCTTTTTATTTCGTACATTAAACGAAAACGAAACAATGAATAGAATTCATAATGATAATCAACGGTGGGTATTGAAACAAAAACAACAATTATTTGTCTGCATAAAGACCACGCGGTTGAAGTAAAAAACAAGTAAAGTCAATAACAGATTTGATTTTTATATAGTTGAAGAAATGCGATTACATGCCTTGATGCAAACTTAATATTTGCGCTTTTTGCATAACTAATAGGTTGTAAGGACCTAAATTTGGCACATTGTAGAAACGATGAAATACGCGTATAATACAAAAAGAGTATCCGATGGCCGACAGAATGTCACTCCCGCTTTACCTCTCTGCGTATGTATATTACAATCCGTGTTTAAAGAACCCCGCACATCACTCGCGCACAATCGAAGGAGCATTAAGAAACAACATTACGTAATAACGCGAAGAAAAATTAAGAGAGTCAAATTATTGTCCGGTAAATGTGCGTGCAGATCACCTGACAACCAAAATAAGAGTAACGCGGTACGCAAGGCAACCGCATGGGGAACGCATAAAAATTGCAAGAGATAAGAAAACTTGTTCGTTTATAAAAACTGATTTTTCATCAATTATTTTAGTGATATTTAATTCGATAGAACGATACAGATTGAAGATTCTTAAAGCGGAAAAGTACTTGCACACTTGGCCAAATGGCAAGAATCTTAATAAAAACGTTTCTATTTTCAAATTTAATTTTCCGCCATTTTCATTTGGTCTTATTGTGGAGAAACTATAATTATAGGAATGACAATATTTACCAGACACAAGATATCACCGGCCGACGCAACCTCGCACAGTTTGTTTGTTATTAAGTATACTAAACTAGCAAAATTTACATTTACAAAGATCATATACGCGATAAATTACTATTAAAATACCAAACACGACTGTAAACACTAATTATCACCGGTGATCAACCAAATATGAAGGGATTATGAACAATAAATGCGCAAGATAAAATTTAGTAGTCGACTGTTGACCGAATATTATGTAAATTTAGAAAACAGAAGACAATACGAGTCGCGAGAAATACGTCTGGACCAACCAGAAACCGGCACGAAACTGGCTGCAAACTGTGCAAGTAACGACGCGACAGTTTATGATAAGAAAGAGATGCACAAAGTCAGTGCTTGAGCGCGAATCGCATTTGGCACGTTACCTGCAATGTAAACTAAACTAGAATATGCTGTATGCGACGTGAGGGGATGGCAACGAACGACACTCGGGAATCTCATGTGTGGCCTTCCACGCGGCGGAAGCGATAAGAAAGTAAAATGTGTTCAAAACAAACACAATTCTCCTGCAGAATGCCCACGTTTGCCGATAAATATAAAAACAAACAATACAATTCTATTTTATGATTTTTAGTTCGTGCTAGTGCCATCTCTGAATGATATAGGTAAAAATAAGAAAAGTAATATTTATTTTACGAGTGATTAAATCGAGACGGTACGTAAGCAAAACACACAAAAAACAGGTATGTTTTAGTCCAAGAAATTAAGGCATATTTTATTTACAAACTTCCTCCATCATCCTGCTCCTCGTCTTCTATAATATATAATTCACGTTTTTCGGGTCAACTTATCATCAAATCATAATTAATCTCATGTTCTTCACACTCCCACCCTCCACTGGATTATACAATATATCATTCAATTTCGCAGGCGTTCGTATTTAGTAATTAAATAGATTCATCATTGCTTCTTGTACACTTCGTTTCACTCCTGTCTCAGTTCGCTCAAACTGTACTCCGCCTTTCGTGAATGCGGAGATAAATATTTCTATGAAATTATAATAATTTATACATTATTCGACATCGTCCGACTTGTGTAGCACTGTCTCATTACAACAACTGTTTGTTCGGCGCCTCAACACTTATCAATCAAGAACCTTATAAATGATCATACTTGAAGTCTTCCCAAGAAGTGTCTCTACGTTCGTTCTTCCTCTGTTTTACACAATAACGATCTTTACAAGCACTTCTCGATCCGCTGACTAAAGTAATTAATATTACAATTTGTACAAGAATATTTTCATTCGTCAAATCGAGGTGAGCGCAAGCCGCACTAGTGTCGATCGTAAACAAGGAATACAGGCCGACAGTAACTATTTATATACAATATAAAAAGCGTATCACTATCGTTTACGAATTGTTTCAGTCTAGTTTTGTTGTGTTGCATCCCCACTCGTGCGTCTTGCTATTTCTAGGCAAATACAAATCATTCTCAATAGATTACTTGATATGTCTCGAGTGCTTACTTTTCTCACTGTGTCTGAACAAATTGTTCATTTGCGTTGTACAAAAATGTGTAGGCAACAATTTTAATTGATAATGACAACATTGCTAATAAAAAACAGTGTAAAGTGTAAATATAAGCCACTAGTTTGCTTTCTTTCATATTTTCTTCTTCACTTAGTTTAAAAGTTCATTCGTTAAGTCTCTCTCAAAATGCGAATTGTTATTTAACTTGCACACAAATTGATTTCATCCCTCGGATACTGAAGAGAGACTGCTCCGCGTTGAACCATGCCCGTGGCGCGAACCCTCCGGCGAGAAATCCGACGAATTCAAGTCGGATGGCAGCGCCAACGCGCTAATCGGCCCGTAAAGCTTTTCCTGCTCATCCAGCTGAGTGTTGAACGTCTCCTCCAGTTTCTATAAAAACACAAACAGATTACAAAACACATCAACGCCGGCGAAAACAAATAAAAGAGTGAGAAACTGGCACGGAATGTCTACAACATGACTAACAAGTTCGAAACGGTGGAAAGCGTACTAGCTCGTTAGTGAAATTGTGAAAAAAGAGTAAATACATAAGTAGATAAAAGCCTGAAACCAACCTGGATCATTGAGTTCCAATTAGTAATGAACTGAAGTAGGATCTGAAGCGAATAGCACAGCGGTGATTTAGTTTAGAAGACAAATTATAACATTGGGCAAGGGAGCAACACACCAACAACCAAGCGTTAATTGAGAGAACATAAAAGGAACCAAACACCTAGTGGTAAATTGATGGTAAACTTCGACGAGCAAACGAATCATAGCACAAACACAATAATAATATGATGGAGCAACTGGGTAACAGATGATTAGCAAAAAACTCGCGGATAACAAAACGAACAAACTAAAGAACAAACAAAAACTCAAAGAACTGTGGATTAATGTTTGATTGTGGAGAGAAATGCAGACGGAATTAAGAATTGGACGTCAAGTTCAGGTCTTTGTCGGATAGGAAGACGCTGCTGCGGTCGGCGACGACGCTCGTGCTGAATGAGCGTTGGTGACCCCAGGCGGACTTAAACGCCGCCGCCTGGCAAGCGGGCGGGAAGCTAGGTGTGCCGGGCGTCGATGACGGCGAGGCGAGATTGTCGCTCGAGCCCTGGATGACCGACCGCGGCAGGTATCGGGCGTACTTCGCCTTGAGCATCTCCTGCCGCACCAACTCCTCTATTCGCTACAATTTCATCATTAGTACCATCAAACATCCTACATACCAGCGCCAGCGCAAGTAAATATTTCTAGCGGTTGCAAGTTTCACCTCAGTACTCAGCAAAATATCCAAAATCAACAAACTATTATATTACTGTTAGTATTATTTGATCGTGAGTTGTTAATTTGGTAAATATTATTTAGGATTTTAGTAGATGTTAGTACTTTTAGTGGTTAATGCGATATTTAGGCGAAGACATACCTGTTTGCGAGGCTTCAACTGCGCTTTCCATTCCTTCAGCTCGCGATTGAAGTGTTCCTCGCGTTCCTTCAGCTTACGCGTCTCGTGCTCCATGAGTAACTTGCGCTTTTCGTTCTGAAGCTGCTCTAGTTCCCTGATTGTTGTGTCGCTCATCGCCCTCAGCTCCTCCAATTGTCGTTTGTGTTTCAGTTCCGCACGACTGCTCTCGGCCTGGTAACGTTTCTTTTCATTCTCTTGAAACTAATAAAAAAAAGACATAAATATTTTATTTAAAAACACAACGTTGTAATTTTAAATAACAAACCTCTTTGATTTTGTTTTTCTCCACTTCAGGATCGGAGGCACCCGATATTGAAATCCTCATCGACTCCCTGAACATCATCTCTCGCACCTTCATCTCCGATCGGATGCGTTTCGGCAATGACCTCTTTTCGGTATTCTGCTTCTTTATAAGTTCCTCTTCCTTCTTTGTAGCGCGTCGTTTAACTTGCTCCATTTCCTTATCGTGTCTATCAAGCATTTGATGCCTTTGCAGAATGAAAATGTCCTTCAACTGCCGCTTAACCAATTGATGCTTCTCGTGGATCTGTTTCTCTTCTATCTCCCATAGGGTAGCCTCACGCGTCCTGGTCAACTGTTGTTTCTGCTGAAGGAACTGCCTCTCCATCAGCGCAATTTTCTCCCGATGTGAATCCGACAAACGTCGCAATGAACTTTCATGATTCTCGTTCAGTTTCTCCAAAAATGCGCGTTCCTTCTCAGCATGTACCGCATCTAATCTATCCTTACGCGATTTATATTCGCTCTTCCTCTGATCCTTGGGTAGTCGTTCAATCTCCGCCTTCAAAAGTCTACTCTCCTGTTTCAGCTCCTCTCGAAAACTTTTCAACTCGCGTTCTTGCTCAAGTCGGATTTTCTTCGAAGCAGCACGCAGGTCATTATCCTGCTGAGCCTCCGCCCGTTCAATGAGTAGCTTCTGTTGCCTACTCAGCATGTCCAGATCACTTTCGTACGTCCTCTCCAAACCTAACCGCTCAGTTTCGAAGCGTTTCTCCTGCGAATCAATCGCCACTTTTTCCTTCATTGCCAGCTCCTGGAACTGTTTCTGTTCCTGCTTCTGCAACAACTTCAACTCGCGCAGTTCTTGTTTTCGATCTGCAAGCGGATCCAGAATCGTATTATCATCGTCACCGTAGATTACTTTACTAGTGGTAGTTGTAATCGTAACACCGTCAATGATAAACTTTCTGGTGCGTTTTCGTGTCTTACGATTGAGGATATTCAACGCAATCTCCTCCTTGGTCTTAATATGAGGTGCTTTCGGCCGCAGTTGCACTTGTACAACATCTTGCCGGTTGGCGTCTTTGTTCTCCTTTGAGCTATTGTTGCTATCATGGCTTGCAAGTGAGATACTCTCCGCATCCGACTTGCTGTTACTCGCACCCGAACGTGGCCGGCGGTTAGAATCACTACTCCTAACCGATCCAGCATCACTCGATCGTGAATCATGCGGATCAAAGTCAAATTTACCATTGTTCACCACCTGCCCGTTAAGTTTCTTCTCATCCCCATAATCGCTCCTTGTACTGCCACCCTTGGAAGATGAAGACAGGTCGCTGGTTGACGTTTGAATATGGCTGTGATTATCATACCTAAACGAGGCGGAATCTTTCACCTGAACCTTCTCCTCGTCGATTTTCACAACAGACACGTGACTTGTATCTAATAACCGCGAGTTATCCGCGGAGACATCCAATCCTGAGTCGTTGATTACATAATTTGAATCAACAATCAATACCTCGCTCTCGTCTAGCTTCTTCAGTGGCTTATCCCTGAATTCAGAAGGTGGTGGGTATTCCAACGAATCCAAGGACGGATAACAGTCATCGTCAGACGACTCAAGATGCGTTTTGTTCGTTTGATTAGACACAATCACCACTTCATTGGCGGGCGCGTTGTTCTGAGGTGACGCTTGTCTCGACCCAGGTCGATTGTCGACCAAGACTGGCGGATGCGTAGTTACCACTGTCACCTGACTAATATTCGACGATAAACTATTAGACAAGTCGGGCATGTCGTTGATGATAATCGTCGAGGTCATTTTGTTATCAGATACGAGGACAATATCACCAATGTCTTTGTTTTCAATGACTACCTCATCAACGACGTCCTTTTGTTCGTTGAGTATCTTACTAAATGCGGCCTCCATGATGTCACTGCTAGCAGTGATTACCTTTTCCTTCTTTATTTCTGGAATCTCCTTCGATGTGGGACTGGCTGTGGGGCTCTTGGAAGACTTCGGTTTGGTGGCTGTTGGCGGTCCAGGTTGTTTCACAACCTCTACTACTTCAACTTCCATAGGTGGAGGTGGTGGTGGTTCAGGGAGGACAGGTGCTGGCACGGCGGGCGGTGTAGCTGGTGGTGTATCAAATTTAGGTGAAGAGGGCGGCGTTGGCAGAACTTCCACGACTGGTAACTACAGGCGGCGGCGGTGCTTTTTCCTTTGTTCTTTCCTTCTCGGTTTCTTTATCCTTTTCTTGTGGTAAAGGAATTTGATGAACCGGAGGTGGAGGTGCGGGACCTTTGTCCCTGGAGGTCTTTCGATGAACTTCTTCTTTTTTGACAGGCACCACAGCGGGAACAATTACTTCAGGCTATATAAAATAAAGATAAATAATATATTAAAGTCAAAATATTTAAATAATAAATATAAATAGTTTATAACTTACCGTGGTAGGTTTCTTCGGTTCTTCCACTTCGACATTGTTGTTAGTCGCCGGTGTGGGAACAACAGCGGGTTGCTTACGCTTCTCAGCCTGTTCCGCTTGCTTCTTTTCCTCTTCCTTAACCACGTCAAGTATTTGCTTGGCAACATCATCATTACAAAACAAATCAATCAAAAACCAAGGAATTTTAATCAGTAGTGTCTCAAGTACCTTCAAATATTAATTTCTATTACTTCTGCACGGAATGCGCGCGTCATCTTCGATGTGAGAGATTCGGTTGTCCTAAAAATTCAAAACACATTAGTAAAGATATCAAATACCAAACATTAAAAGACATAATCAACAAAACGAAAAAATAATGATAATAGAGTAGTAACAGATACGTGACCTTAAACAACAAATGACAAACAGTCTGATGATATGCAACTCGCACTCATTATACGAACAATGTGCTACAACTATCAAGTGTGACGTCATTTGGAACGACTCCAATAAAACGTATAATAAAGAAAGGAACATAACTAACACAATTGCAATCAACATATATCATTTTCGACACAAAATTTACATTTGAACGTCTTCGGAAACCCCACAAACGTGAACTTCAACTTCATCACAAATATGATTAGCTGTGTAAAGTAGAGTAGAGTAAGAAGATTGTATCGTATTCATATGTAATTTCTACGTTTTCATTTTCATTTAAATAACGAAAGAATACGAAATAATATCGAAATAATATTTTGATGTTATCCTCGTATCTCACCTGTGCGTCGTGCATGCCAGGTACGGGGGGACCCGGTGAGCCGCATGCACAACAAAAACGTAATTCATAAAACACGCGAAATGCGTGGCGTTGTACTTGTGCGTTCTTGAGTGTACCGCGTGCGAGTGGTCACAATAAGACACACATCTGTGCAGGGCGCGTCACGTGCGCCTAGCCCTTCGAAATAACTTACCAATGCGCTGATACAACTCTTTATGCTTCCGCTGTTTCTTTCTACCCCTCTGCGCGCAAACCAACCCCCAATCATATACAAACATAGTAAGCGTGAAAATAGAAACAAGAAATTCAAGTTCTCTTAAGAAAAGTTTTAAAGAAAACAAAAAATTCAATTCTTTTACCTCTCCATCATCGTCTGTGATCTCTTCTTCAACGACCTCAGCCTTGTACTCTAGCAGTAGATCCCTAATAGGTTTGGCGTCAAGGGTGCAATTGATGAACGGATGTTTAAGCAGTTCTTCACACGTTGGTCGCTTCGATGGGTCCTTGATGAGTGAGCGGGCGAGGAAATCATTGAAATCCTTGGAGTACTTCGACGGTTGTTCCAGTTTCGGCGGGTCGGACTTCTGGATCTTCAGCAGGACGCGCAGCGGTGACATTTCGTGATTCGGCGGCTCCATCTGTGCGAATTCAATTAGCGTAATACCCATCGACCAGATATCCACCTTAAAGTCGTAGGGATTATCGCGGAAGGTTTCACACAGCACAACTTCGGGTGCCATCCAATACGGCGTACCAATAAACGTGTCATGCTTCTGCATCGTGCTCTTATTCTTCGCAGAAACACCAAAATCAGCTGAAGAAAAAAAAAAGAAAAACATAAATCAGTAAAAGTACAATTCCCAAATGACCTTGAACATTTATCTCAATAAACCCATCTATTTATATCCATAACCGCATTGTCGTGAGTAACAAACACACACTCACACACTCAATGAATCACCATCATTCCAACTATTCCTATACGTAATGCTATCACAACCTCGACAAATTGACGAAGATTGACGGACGCAAAGGTCAATTGTACCGAGTTTAACGCCGCCTGCCATCGTCAGCAAGCACGTTGCCCGCCTTGAGGTCCCGATGGATACAATATGCGCCTTGTGCAGAAACAACAACCCGGTGGTCATCTGCTACACAATATACCGAATCTGCGCCTGTTGAGCGGCTTTCCAGCTCGGTCATGATACTATCCAGCGCACCACCATCACAATATTCAATCAACATCCAAAGTTGATTACCCAGCTGGAAAGCTTCTGTGCATCTCGACGATATTGTGATGCTTACACTCCGAGAGAATATCAATCTCGATCGCGAAATCGGCTATGTTACCTTCGCCATCCAAACGGTACATTTTCGCGGCCGCCAGTTGCCTGTATTCGTTTATGCTGCGCCTTGCATACTGGCCATATGCTCCATCACCCAACACGCCGATCATGTCCCAAAACTCTTCAGGATCCAGATCCTGCCGTACATTGGAGTAGACTTTCTTCTTCTTGGCATCATTGCCTCCCAAATGGAGGACTTTCTTTATATTATTCAAAAAAGACATTCTGATGTCTTTTCACCTCAAAAATTCTGCGTGAATTTATTTAAATCTTTTTGTGTTTACACTAAAAGTACACTCTTCACATAGTTTGCGGGTGTTGATGATAAAAAGTGATTGAAGAGTGGCGTTGATCACATCATGTGACAATCACATTTTGATCGGGTTTTGATGATGTGTGGAAATAAACGACGAATATTCGATGGCCACTGCAAAAAACAAGACAAATATATGCATATTAGTAAATTGTGGTTGAAACACTTCCTGTACACACATACTGATAAGAAAACTCTCTAAATACAACGCGTTAAACATCTACCAATGGCAACTTGTGCAAACATTTCTCTAAATGCTCAAATCACGCCTCCTCTCATCGCATTGCCACCTAAAATTGAAATTCCGCGCGACGTCCAACATGCTAATGCTAATTAGTTATGCATCTAATTGATTTGTAAACATTCGAGAAGAGAGACTGGTCGCATCATCCGACACGCATCGAAATCCACGACGACGAAACTTTTCCTAATGGAATGCGTTGTTTTTACTTTACACAATTTTTTGCGTTTTAAATGTACAACCGAAACAAAAACTAGTAATTATCAATTTACAACGGATTATTTGCTGATTTACGCATTATACAAGTTGATACCTGATAAAAAACGGTGTAGTACATTGTTTAAGAAAATACCCAATGCGCGATAAGTGTTTTACGCTTGTAATCTGCTGATTTTATCGATAAAAATAGCAGGAATGTAAGGCTTTCGCGAGGCGTTTGTCGTTTGTTTGAATGTGAAAGTAAAATATGCGCCAGCCGCTGCATTTAAACGCAAAAACGGATACATGTCAAAGCGCTCCTCGTTATTATTAGTACGTGCAAGACGTCGTCGGGGCCCGTCGCGTCTGTTGTCCAAGTTTATGGCCAACAACCTGTCCAAGTTGCGCATTACCAAATCACATTTGCATACGCGATATATGCCACCTTTTAAACGCAAACCTAATCGCACCGCGTGAGGTGTAAACTTGGCGAATTCTTCGGATTTGACTGTTATCGCTATCAATGAAATCACACACACTCACACGCTGTGTTTGCGTGTGTGCGTGAAAGTGTCATGCACTTGTTTTCTAGGTTCGAGACTGAGATTCTTTCACCTTCGGTTCCCCGAAACACGAACCCACGAACGATGGTCATCAAAGGCGTGTGGTGTGGCTGTGTTGTTACCTGATCATTTGTCTCGGGAGCATCCGGTGCCCGTATGGCGACGAATATTCCTTGAACGTATGAGTCCCGAATCCCACATCCGCGTCCTCGCACTCGCACCCGCGGACGTCGGCAAGAATTCTCTGTCTCGGCCTCTTGCTCGTCGTTTCCTCACATCGATTGCGCAGCTTAAGCTTAACACGCGGCGGATGAGATGGCTGGCGATGATTTACGCGCGTGTGGTGGTTTGCGCCGCGACGCGCACTTGTTTCGGACGGACGGCAGGCGCGATCGCGGGCGTAAATTGCAGGTAAAACGCGGACCGATACCGAAACCGACACCGACGACAGCACTCTCTACACATCTACCAAGTGGTCAGCCATGCCAATTTTAACTGCGCTCGACTCCCGCATCGCAGCGCGACGAGCGCTCCGCTCTCGGTGAGGTTGGTGCTGCTCGCTGCTTTCCATGATTTTATCATTCAACCACGCCTGAGAATTACAGGCATTTAATACGCATGCGCATAGATTTAAATAATTATGAAAAAGTCGTATTAAACAATATTTAACAAAGGAAAAATAAACTATTAGGTTGTTAAATGTGTAAATGTAATTGTATAACAAGAAAATTTTGAATTTAATAGAAAATTGATTTTTAACAACTTTTGATTACCTAAGCTATTTATACCTATTTGCACTCTATTTTAAATGGTTATTTACAAAATAAAAATATAGTTTTAGTTTTTATAGTTGTAAAGTCAGAAAATTGATTTTTTTTCCGCAAATGAAAATGTTTGACAATCAAGTTAAATATTACTTTGATGTTTCAATATAGGCAACCAAAAATACACCAATGAAATCTAAATAATATTCCATCACAAGAATAACAAAATATTCTTGAATATTAACCATTATCAACTAGTTATTTACCTGATCAGGGCTATATCAATAATATCTTGATTTATTTACGCATCGCACACCTCAAAGTACTTAAAATACCTCCCTCAAGGGCATAGGTAAGTCCTTAATGTCAAATATTAAATTTTCTAGAAAGTTTTCAACAATTTTCTTCGAAACAGTAAGATATAACTGTATCTACTTTTAATACCTTAACTAAACTGAATATTTTATGATTTTAGATTATTCTATAATCAAATTATTCGATTGTTTGATTTTTATCTTTGGTTATGGCCCAACCACCATCCAGAAGCATCATAATGATGATAATCAACAACTTTATCAATTCAATCAAACCGCGACAAATCCGCGGAACGCTCATTGGCAAGGATTATTTCGGCAATAAATATTACGAAATACCTGCAGATCCTAGCATCGGCAAACGCCGCACTAACAGATGGTTTGAACCCACAATGAAAGATAATTTTGATCAAGAAATGCCAGCTGAATGGGAAGCATGGCTGAGAGGGCGACGCAAATTGCCTCCCAGCGAGGATGAGGTCATGAAAAGCGTTGCGTTGATGGAAATGAAGAAGCATAATGCCATTGAAGTGGATGCCAAGGGTGGGAAGATGACTCCTATGGCAAAAGGCATGGAAACATTTCCACATAGACCTGACTATGAAAGAATACCTGGAAAAGGTAAGTAAATATTAGAAAAAAATGTAAATTACTAAGGGGAACTTCGAAAATGTTAATAATTTGAACTATTAAATGTTAAAAATTGGATGACATCCTGTTATACAACGCTGTTTAGTTGATTTTTTACATTTTTTTTTAAATTGTTTATCGTTTTTGTGTGATTTTCACTGAAGTAATCCTCAAAACAATAATTTCATCTTTAAATTTTGAGGTATTTAAGTGAAAACTAAAGATTTTATTATGAAAATCTTTAAATTTCATCCAAAAAGTTCAAAAACAAAAAAATCTCCCCTTGAAATTCTAGTACAACTATAAAATTATAATAAATATGCGTTGTAAGCTCTTTGTAAATATCCCTCAAGGGCATAGGTAAGTCCTTAATGTCAAATATTAAATTTTCTAGAAAGTTTTCAACAATTTTCTTCGAAACAGTAAGATATAACTGTATCTACTTCTAATACCTTAACTAAACTGAATATTTTATGATTTTAGATTGTTCTAGGATCAAATTATTCGATTGTTTGATTTTTATCTTTGGTTATGGCCCAACCACCATCCAGAAGCATCATAATGATGATAATCAACAACTTTATCAACTCAATCAAACCGCGACAAATCCGCGGAACGCTCATTGGCAAGGATTATTTTGGCAATAAATACTACGAAATACCTGCAGATCCAAGCATCGGCAAACGCCGCACTAACAGATGGTTTGAACCCACAATGAAAGACAATTTTGATCAAGAAATGCCAGCAGAATGGGAGGCATGGCTGAGAGGACGGCGCAAGTTGCCTCCCAGTGAGGATGAGGTCATGAAAAGCGTTGCGTTGATGGAAATGAAGAAGCATAATGCCATTGAGGTGGATGCCAAGGGTGGCAAGATGACTCCAATGGCAAAAGGCATGGAAACATTTCCACATAGACCTGACTATGAAAGAATACCTGGAAAAGGTAAGTAAATATTAGAAAAAAATGTAAATTACTAAGGGGAATTTCGAAAATGATGAAAATGTTAATAATTTATACAATTAAATGTTAAAATTTTTATGATATTCTGTTATACAACGCAGTTTCGTTGATTTTTTCCATTTTTTAAAAATAATTTATCTTTTTTGTATGATTTTCACTGAAATTATAAAGAAAACAATAGTTTTATCTTTAAATTTTGAGGTGTTTAAGTGAAAACTAAAGATTTTATTATGAAAATCTTTAAATTTCATCCAAAAAGTTCAAAAACAAAAAAATCTCCCCTTGAAATTCTAGTACAACTATAAAATTACAATAAATATCGTTGTAAGTCCTTGTAAATAGTAAATAAAAGCCTTACTTTATATATAAAGCTTTTATTGTTGTTTTTAACAAAAGTTTGCGTTTGTTCCGAAGACAAAAACAAAAACATTTCGACTCTGTAGAGGAATCAACTCAAACTCACCAGTTGTGGGGTTTTACAAGATGCACCAGAGACGCACAAATAAATGCAAACGTAAAAATATCGTCTTTTCATTTTGTTCAGCAAATGCTAATCAACAGAAAAAAAAACCTGCGTTCAACGTTCGAAATCGTTTCAATTTCAAGGACTCTCCCAATATCTGCTGCGTTTATCAACAGGAATTTGAATAAGTTTTACGTGAAACGAGAAAGCAATGTTCAAGGTTGCGGCATTTTCAGTTAAAACCAAACTTACAACAGATAACTGTAAAGAGCACGAACCTTCATGAATTCATGAACAAATTTCATTCATATATTCATAATTCCGATTGATTCAAGGCCCGCTTACGTAATCGCACAATGCGCACTTCAAACATCGCTTATCATTGGGAGAATTCGTGTCGGCGACGTCCGTGACGAGACCAAATTGATGGTTTATTTATTTGTGCGAGCATAAAATCCGCCATCTCATCCTGCGCAGCGCTAGGAAACTGATTTCGAACATCAAATTACATAAAATATCAACGTGTTCGACGAAATTCCATCACTTCAATCATCGTACAATTATCAAGTTTTCTCGTTTTTATCGTGTTTAAATGTTAAATTTTTCAAAGTTTAGAGTTACTTATCGGCTTATTATACCCTTTACAATCAATAAATAAGTTTTGTTTTTGTATATATCTGTGTTACTGTCACGTTCTTGTCATTCTTCCATAACTTTTGGCTGTTGGCTGCATCGTTTTTAAATGTTCCACGTTTGTTTAAATTATTTTATTAATAGTAATGTAATATTAAAGTACCCTCAAGCAATTTGTGGTTTCGGGCTTTGTTTTGCCCTTGTGTGTGTTTTTCTGCTGTTTTTGTGAGCATTATGGCTTCGAAAAGCGTGGCTCTATTTTGCTCTCTGGTTTCGTGCGTAGAAGATAAAGTGTTCAACATTTTCAGGGAGAGGTGTTTATTATCGGATCGGTTATTGTGTTCAGTCGATGTACTGCGCCAACCAGCGGAAGTCCCCGCCGTAGCCCTGCCGCTTAAGTACGGAGCAATATAAATAACTCCAGCGGACGGCCTTGCAATTCATTTCTTGCTACTTTTCCCTGCATAAAACAAACACACAATGAGATAAATATCATTTTTTGATGGGTATAATTCATGTAAGCCGCGTACTCTTTCTCCTGCCGTCACGCCATACAGCGAGAAGAAGTTCCTGCGCCTCGTCCTCGGACGCCGCGCCTGGTATTTCGCCAATCTTGTTGCCGAGAACAGAGCACCGGACGCTGAGTAAAGGCCTGTCCGTCAGCAGCGAGAGTCGAGCCTGCTTTTGCCTCGGGGAAGTGATTGCGATCGTAGGCGTCTATCAAGAAAACAATGGCGTCCACCGCAGGGAAGTAATCCTTCCATACTCGTCTCGCTGCACGACAAAAACACCAATATGGACATTAATTATCCACAACTATAATATATAACTCCATATTTACCTTGAGTGTGACCGCCTAAATCGAATGTGGTGAATCTCATATTTCCAATGGACAATTCCTCGGATGCTAAAATATTAAAAATCACAAAATGATGAAATAATGTTTCAACTTAAACTTTCAACATTCAACTTCATTATTAGTGGGACATGTAGATATTATTTACGTAATATTAGCCTTTGACATGTTAGTGAGTATTCTAGGATTAACTTACTGGGATGTAATGTGGGTACGTGCTGGGCGAGCCTATCGTCCTTGAGCATGTGTAGCAGCGTCGTCTTGCCGGCATTGTCCAGGCCGAGGAACAGCAGCTTGCCGGACTTCTTCCACAAGCCTACCAGCGCGCGAGGATGGACACAAAGGCGTGAAACAAACAAGTACATGCGATTAGTATCTGGTCAGCGGCGGCACTCACCGGGAATTGCATCAATTGCAGCATTCTCTTCGTATAAGGCTGCGATGAGCTGGCGTTTGCCTGAATTCGCATAGCCGCAGAAGGCGTAACGACCTCTGCGCTTTAAACCTTTATATAGACACAGAAAAACTCATGTTTCAGAGTCAATTAAGTTCAGAATTGGCTAAATTACAGCTTTAGGAGCAATTTATTCACAAAAACTTCTGATTTTACGCATTTTCTATCAAGTTTTGTTATATTTTGAATAGAAATTGAGCAGTTTTACTTAAAATTGTTAATTTTTAAGCAAAAATACCTCAAAAATTGATCAAATATTGAAATTAATCTTCCACAAATACAAATTTTGAATATTTTTGTATGTTTATTGCAAGTTTTAGGCAATAAAAGTGTTTTTTCACTAAATTTACAAGATTTTTACCGAATATTCATCCTGTTACTCATTAAACAATCAATAAAAAGCATATTCTTCAATAAACTTTCAAATTTTCAGCATTATACTAACCAAAAACACTTAAAATGTTTTCAGTCTACTACTCCACCATCCGCTAATTAAAGCTATAAAAAGAAATGATGAAATTTCAAGCAATTTCAGCTTGTTTTCTACCAAAAACAATGAAAAATCATCAAAATTCTCTCCTCCAACTTGTCTACACCATCTGAAACTCACCTAAATATCCTAAAACTCCCGTAAACCAATCCCAGATAAACATTTTTACTCTAAAACAAAAGAAAATCACAAGTTAGAACAAATTTTAACAACATAACAACTAGTTTTGTGTGTGTTCACCTTGATAAATATTTTATCAACACATGAATGTTAAAAGCCCGCCGTACAATCACAGTGATTTAATCTAATGTGCAATTATGTGAATTCAGTAATGAGAAATGACTCAGCTGATTTGCAGTAAAACTCAACCGTTTGATTAAAAATTTTTAATAAAACTTAAGATTAACGTTAATTGAATAATTTCACGCACTAAATCAACAGCACATAAAAAACTATCAGCGATGTAAAGTCTAACTGAGCCCAGGTCGCTGACGGAACTTAATTTATTTTGGTGTCGAGCCTCTCGGCTGGTAATTTTCATTGAATATTTTTGATGACTTGGACTTGAGTACAACTCAAGGTGAGGGCATAAGAAATGACGCGGCATTGTACACAGCAGTGGTCCACGTACAAATTATCAATCATGATTATGAAAGTGAGGATGTGCGTTGGCATGATGAGCGAGTGTTTCATTTGCAAGACGCGAATTGCGATGCGATAATTTCGCGTATGTTTTCCAACACGTATGACAACAATGCGAATGCGGGCCCTGAACGGGTGGAGTGTGCGTATGTGTGGTACTTACACGTTGTGTTGGTTGGTTTAGTTTCCTTCAAATTTTTATTTGCTAAGTAGATCACAGTGTTTGATTAATCCTAGTGGTGGCTGGCTCCCTTTATACGGTGCGCGTAGCGTGCGTGTTATCCCCTTCGCCGTGGCGCCGTTGTTACTAGAGAGTGGCCTGCCCCGTGTCACCATTCAACCTCGACTGCGGCGTATCATCCAATCAGCATCGCACACTCGCACGCACACGACTGCAGTGAACGCAGCGCTGAAAAACACGATTTCTAACACGTACCGATGTGAATTCGCAGTTAAAACGTATCGTGGTACATTACTAAAGCTCTAGAAAGATATTAATAGTTGAATTTGGGTTTAATTAAGCTTTATTTGATTGGAATTTGCGTTTGAAATTTGAATACAAACACAGTCAAGCGTCGGACGTTGTACGTCAACTGACAACTGACGACTAGTTCGAGGGTGATGTGACACTTCCGGTGATGTGTCTTTAACACAAAAGTTTTACTATAAAAATAGTATAATACTGCAAGATAAATATATAATAATAAAGGTAAATGATTTAGTTATTTATTATTTAATGGAATTTTAAGATATATGCTTTTATTTTGTTGTTATTTTTAAATTAAAATTGAAAATGACGAGGTTTGCGCGATATCTACACATCGCATCTGTCACTTTGACTGCGTGTACTGACAAAGTCAAAACACAACCGCGCTGAATTCAATTTAAACTGTTTGTTTCGACTCAAAAACACTGCAAATGTTGTAAATGTTTAGAAACATGTTTAAAAGAACCATTAAATTATTAAACACATTATATACACTTTAAATTTACAGTTTATCCAACTGTAGAATAATAATTCTGGAGTTGGTGAAATGTAGAGCGCGATTATTGATTATTTTTTTGAAGCAATCAATATTTTCACTTTCGGCATGTTGTGCGGGTAAACACGCGCCTTTCGCACCTTCTCGTCGGTACTGTTTTCATTCCGGCGCGTATATCGACAATGTCCAGGCTGCGGAATCGCAATATTCGTGCCGTTATAGCAGGTGGGTAACAATTTTCAACGCGACGACAACGAGGTGAATACGCAGACAAATGGAAATTGTTTTGAGAATGCGGGGACGACAACGACAGCTGATTCGGTATTGCGGAAATTGTGCCCGCTCGCACCGGAAATTGAATAAGTTGGCGCACACAACCAGAACGAACGAAGAAGAAACCAGCTGGAATTTGGATTCGGCGGTTGAAGGGTGCGGTAAATGAATCAAGCGACGAGGAATCATAGGAAATTCCTGTTCGTCAGTTGATACTTTAAGGAAGTATTGGATGAAATTCGCAATTTAGAGGGACGGTTATGTAAAGTCAATGAGCGCAGAAAGTTACAACAGTTGGAATGAAGAGTACGAAAACGACAGCACACAATTAGTGAAAGCTGAATACGATCGTATGGAACGAGTTTTACAATGTCGTGAAGCTTATATTCCCCACTACGATAAAGAAGAATATAAATTATGGATAAAAACATTTCCGCTTTTAAGGTTTGTAAATATCCACAAGATGGCGCTGCAATGCACTTCAATAAAAATAAAAATTAAAAACTTCATTTCTCCAGTTTGGTTAGTCGTACATCATCTCTCTAGAATACCGTGTAAAACATCACCTTATGATACATTGGAACAAATCTCAACACCAAAAATCGTGATAACCCGTCAACTCCAGCGAAGAAAAAATTCACCAGCTGATACACATGAAGCAATACGGAACGAAGTACAACAA